TCTTAATTTTTAAAGTATAAACATGAAAAAGCAGGCATCTTTAGATGAAATGTAGTATTTGCATGAGTGTGTCAGGGACATATGGAAGTCATCTTATGGGATTCTAATCGCAGGGCTTATGTGTGCTATGAGCATGAAGCTATGGAGAATGCAGGCTTTTGAATGGGAAAGACGGAGAGTTGGCATCTATCTGCACCCATTCCTAGCTCAGGGGCTCTTGCACGCCACCCTAATCTCAGTTTACCCCTCTGTCAAATGGGGGTGGTAATTCCTGCCTTGAATGTTTTTGTAAAGATTAAGGAAAATGTAAATGTTGGGAAAATATGGAATCTTGGTTTCATTCCAGAAAGCTTTGTGAATTCTCCCTACCTACTTATGAATTCTTTTTTTTCTCCTTTGAGGGTTCTGCTTTGGTCCATGACATGGTGCCTGTTAATAGTGCTTTTGCCCCAGGAGCACTTTTTTGCAAAGAGAATAATCATATGATTTCCCCTGTTGGGGAAAGTAAAGGGGCTGCTGGCTGTATTCACCAGAATTCTCCAGCATGAATCCAGCCAAGACCTGGAAACTCGCAGGGGAAAAAATTCTCGAGACTGAGATGACTTTTTACAGAAAAGGCCACAAGCAGTGCTTTACTCAGGAATTTTGTCTGGAAAGCCTGTTTAAGCCCTCTCTTCTTTTGGCTGATGGGCAGCCCTGGAATTTGTTCGTTTTCCAGTGTTAGGCCATTTAAGGGCACAATGGTTGAACAAACTCAGTAAGCAAACTCAGCTCGTGCTATTATATAGTGCCTCATGCATGCGCGCTCAGTCACGTCCAACTCTTTGTGACCACCCCACCCCGGACCGTACCCCACCAGCCTCCTCTGTCCATGTGATTTCCCACGCAAGAATACTGGAGTGGGTTGCCATTTCCTCCTCCAGGGGTGTCTTCCCAAGCTAGGGATCTAATCGGAGTCTCCTGCGGCACCCGCACTGGCAGGGGGATTCTCTACTGCTGAGCCACCCAGGAAGCTCCTATCAAGGCCTCATTCATTTGCAAATACTTGAGTATCTGACTTGCAGGCAGGTGTGCTGAGGTAGAAGTTACATTGCTGGGCAAAAATATTTGTGGTTTCTATCCTCGTGGGCCTTCCTGATCACCAGGGGTGACTGCCATCCGTGGAAGAACTGGAGACGTAAAGATGAAATGAGAACTGGGAGGAGGGTCGTGAAGGCTGTGTAGAAGGAATCTCTAAGAATTAAGTATGAGAATTTAGCCACAGAGGGTTCAGGGAAGGCTTCTGTGAAGAACTGTGACCTAAGAATGAACAGATGCCTGACAGCTGGGGCAGAGGGAGAGGGGATGTTTAGGTGGGTGGAGCCAGACCCTGGAGCAGTGCCTGGGAAGTGGGCACAGGAGAGGAGGGGAGGGGGGAACTGAGAGTGGTCTCAGAAGCTGACCTCTGCGTGTCTTGCAGGACAGGCCATGTTCAGGACATTATTGTTTTGGCTGCACAGTGCGGTGGCATCCAAGGTCTTAGTTCCTCATCCAGGGATCAAACCCATGCTCCCTGCATTAGGAGTGTGGAATCTTAACCACCGGACCGCCAGGGGAGTCCCCACTGAACTTTGTTGAAAGCAGTGGGAGCTACTGAAAAGTGATAAGATTTGCATTTTGAAAGTAATTCAGGGCTGTTCCAGGCATGTTCGTCCAAATGCGGTCAGAGTGACCTCTTAGGGACTGATGGAGCTGTCCAGGTGAGAGATGGAGGTGGCACAGTGAGGGCGGCAGGGCAGAGATGAAATAGGAGACAGAGTCAGGTCCACGTGGGAGCTGTTGCAGTCATCGGCAGTGGCTCTCCGAACATTGCGATGGGAGGGAAATGAATGGGCTTTTGTGTGTTAAATCAGTGCTAACACAACTCCAAATTTGTGGACCTAAAAAGATGACTGTAAGAACCAGTATCTCCAACTGAGACATGGAATAATTTCTTCCACGGTGTTTTTTTTTTTTTTTTTAATAAATATATGTTGTGGTTACTGAATTTAAGAAATAAACATTGTGTTTCTAGGTTATGATATATCCCACATGGAAATGTATTCACTATGTCTATAATTATAGCAATCTTTACAGATTATACTTATTTTAGAATACTATAATTTGAAAGTCCTTTAATTATAACATAATACATATTTAAAATAACTTGACTAATCATAGAATGATTTAAATTTATATTTACCAGATTAGGTAGCACTTGGTTCTAGTCACTTTGCTTTCCTATGTCAGTGTATTTTTAGAAATCAGTGTCATTAATCACAGATAGATGTGCGCTTTACAACTTGTGAAAGGAAGTAAAGATACCCATTTCCTCAATTTCTTATAATTACAGACTAGTATTGAAAGAAATTGCTACCATAATTAAACTTTCTGCCTCTGGAGTTAAGAACATGCTGACTTGGTCCGTGGTCCTCCATGGTTCCTCAGCTGGAGCATCCTTGGAGAGGTTGAGAGGCTCACAAGAAGGCCTTGGGACCCGCCACAACCACGTGGCCTCACTGCAGGCTTGGCCAGGCTGTTTGACAGGTGGTAGAGAAACAGGGAGTTTCATCACCAAAGGGCTTATATCATGTACACAGTCAGTGTGTGTGGATTCAGCTGCACAAGCCAGCATTTTGTTTACTTATTTTTAAAAAGTTTTTGGCTGTGCCTTGCTTTTGAGATCTTAGTTTCTTGACCAGGAATTGAAGCTGGGCCCTTGGCAGTGAAAGTGCAGAGTCCTAACCACTGGGACTTCCCTGGCAGAACAGTGGTTAGCAGTCCGTGCTTCCACTGCAGGGGGCATGGGTTCGATCCCTGGTTGGGAGACTAGGATCCTGCCTGCTGTTCAGCCCAGTAAAAAAAAAAAGAAAAAAGAATAGAGAAAATTCTCAATTTCATGGGACTGGGGTGCCCGCACACTCGCCTCCCTGCAAGTCCCCCTGGAGAATGAAAGGGTGCTCTGACAAGTTTCTTGTCCACAAAAACTCATGAAACCTATGACTGTGCGACTGGGTAATGTGTGAAACTGGCTCCCTGGCAGAGAAACTGGAAGAACAGGTAGAATTATCGGGGTCAGGGAGGGATGGTAGCTGATACGCCTAAAAAGTTCTCAGAGCAAATTCTCACATAATTGTTGGATAAAATCCCTCTACATGGAATTAAACACCGTGTTTAGCTGCACCCAGAGCACGTGTGTGCTCACCTGACCAGTGAGAACTCCATGTACAGACCACTGACTGTACTGGAATGCCATCTAAGGCATTTTCAGGGACGACCTTTGTCCCTGATTTTCCCCTTTTGTGCTAACTTAGAACTTAACCCCTGCCAAAAATCCAGTGACTTTTGCTAGTTGGATGTTCTTGACGCCTGACTGCCTTTCTGGCTCCAGAGGAAGCTTTCTCATCTGCTTGTGAGAAAATAACAGAATATATTCCTACATTCAAGGCAGTTTTCCCTGACACTGTACTTTTTCAAACCAAATAACACATTGCATCTAAGTGTTCTCTGGGGCATTCTTAAAGAGGAGGGTATGTGGTGACTGGTCAGGTCCCTTTCTAGGTGGCGGGTGGAATCCAGTCCCTTGACTTGAGGCAGCTGGTGGAGGAGGAGCAGGAGGAGTCCAGTGTCAGAGGGTCAGGCGGGGGCGCTGTCTGACTGCCTGTCCCTGCACAGCCCTGGACAGTCCTCCCCTTCTCCCCTCCTCTGAACTGGAGCAGGTTGGCTTAGAGAAGCCCTAGTGCTCCCTCCATGGTAACATTCTGTTTAAAACACCTATTGAGTATCTGTTGTATGCACTTATTAAACACCTATTGAATACCCATTGTATACACCTATTAAACACCTATTGAGTACCTGTTGTATACACCTATTAAACATCTGTTGAGTACTGTTGTATACGCCTGTTAAACACTTATCGAGTACTTGTATATACAGAGAGCATTTCACTGCAGGCTAGGCTGGGAGAGTCCATGCCTCTGTCTGGAATGAGTTTAGAGATTTCTTTTTCTGGTTCAGGTGGTAGGTGAGCCTGGGAGCCCAGTGTGGAAGCTCATGAGCTGGTCTCCTGATGGTCACCTTCTTGTCCTCAGATCAGATTTACAATAGCCATGCCTTCTGACACAGTGTCTATTTGCCCAGGTTTATCCATGTTTATGCAGACTTCTTCTGTAAATATTCTCAGTCCAGGAGCCAAACGGTGTGTGTCACAGAACTTTACTCAGCAGTTGTGATGAGAGCACGTATAGACAGCCTGTAAATGAATGGGCGTGACTGTGTGCAAATAAAACTTTATTTACAAAGACAGTTGCCTCACCACGTTCTTGAGTTGTTGAAAAGTCTCAAAATGGGTGCTTCTGCGTACCTGGGGTCTGTGGGTGGGGCCAGGTGATTCCCAGGCATGGGCCAGCCTCAGTGCCCAGGCCCCCTTCAGTCCTCCACCAGCAGAGCTCTAGACTGCGGGTCTTTTTGTTGCTGGGCTTGTCCTACAGGGAAGGGCCTTCAGGACTCTCCATTAGGGAGTTAAACTAGCCGCCAAGGAGCCCCAGGGGCCCCCAGAGCCAGGAGAGCTGATGCTCACCCGCTTTGTGTTCCGGGACAGACTTCTCTTTCAGACAGAGGCTCTTTCATTGAGCATGACCCAACAAAGCCAGCTTGTGCCCGTTTTTGGAAACATCCACAGGCCTTCACCTTGTTCTTCATAACTTAGTCTCTTCAGAATGAAAGTCAGGAGATGTTACCCCAGGACATTTTACTTGTCATAAATAAGCCAGGACAAGCATCCCCTTTGGGCACTGGAAATTGGAAATGGCTGATCCTAGAAAAACAGCTTCTTCAGATCCTTTCTGGGTATAAATAAATGAGTTTTTAGAAGTCCCGGGGAATTGTGGTTTCCATTCCAGCAGGGACCCGAGGGAGGAGGACACTGCTTCCAGGAGCTGCTGTTTCAGCAAGCCAAGCTCCGGGCTTTGTCTCGTTTGCAGGGCGAGGCGACATCCAGCCCCAGCTGGACAGCGCACTCCAAGACGTCAATGACAAGTATCTCCTGTTGGAAGAAACAGAGAAGCAGGCTGTCCGGAAGGCTTTGATCGAAGAACGCGGCCGGTTCTGCACCTTCATTTCTATGCTGCGGCCTGTGATTGTGAGTCAGTGGAAAGTTCCATAAGGCTTAAACTGCCAGTTCCGAGGAGACCCTCCTTGTTTATCTGGAGGTGTTGAGGAGCCGCCCTGTGTCAGGAATCATGATGGTGGAGTCACGTTTATGAACCAGTAGTTGTCTGCAAGCTGCTGATGGCCTCACGGCCCTCTCTGTATTCTGAAACTGGTGGTTCCGCTTACTTTTTCTCCCCAAGATGCCCCACAGAGTTGTTCTTAAAGTTGGTCCCCAGACCAGCAGCGTCACCTGGGAACAGGTTAGAAATGGGCATTCTCAGACCCAACCCAGATCTACTGAATCCACAGCTCTGGGGCTGGGAACCCCACCCAGTCATCTGGGCTTTTTAAACAAGTCCTCCAGCTGATTCCAGTGACCAAGATGAGTGCCAAGGAGTGACTGTGAGGTTAATAGAGGAAAAGCCTCAGTGAATCCATGCAGATTTATTTTTGAAGTCAATCAGTTGTATGCCTTGAAAAGTTCTGCTGGAGCTTTTCTTGAGGCTAATAAAAATGCAAAATGCCCAGATCGGAGTTGTTCCCCTGAGCGTAGTGCTTTCCCGTGAATCGTTCTTACCTGGGCCCACAACCCCAGCTTAGCTCCTTGGTGATGTCATTCCTCCACAGTCCACAGTTTGCCTCACTTGCCATTGATTAAGTTGATGGAAAAAAACAAAGACAGGGCTGTTAACCTCCAATGAACACACATGTGCAGTCACTTCGGTCTCTCAAATCTGGACCAGAATATCCCCAAATGGTGTTATCTGCTGAAGTCAATTGACTTCCGGGGGAGGGAGCGGGCACGCCTTGGCTTGCGGAGGGGGCTTGTACTGCAGGATCCCAACAACAGGCAGACCGCCAGCCCTGCCCCCAGCAGGGGTGCCGGCCCCCAGACACTTCTAGGAAGGCCCGTGTGTTTGTGGCGGAGCACACAAGTCTCTCCGTGGTTATGGCGGATTTCTTGTTCTCCATTTCCCCAAAGAAAGGGCTGGTAAATGGCTTCAGCACGGATGTATCAGTCCCTGTGCTCCTCTTCTGAAAAGCTGAAAGTATAGATAGTGTCCATAAGAAAAACAGCTGGATCCAGATGATAAAGTGAATCGTGCACAGTAACAGGTTGTAAATTACTTTCAGGAAGAAGAAATCTCAATGCTGGGGGAAATCACTCACCTGCAGACCATATCAGAAGATCTGAAAAGCCTGACCATGGACCCTCACAAACTGCCCTCCTCAAGTGAACAGGTAGGTGTCTTGGGATAGGTGCTCAAAACAAACCCAAGAGATGAAGGTTCAAGGTCCTGAGGGTTCCTTGTGGCAATATCTCATCTGAAATGGTACCGTGTTTTACATTGTGATATGTGGCTGTCATCTTCACAGGTCATCATAGAGCACCTACTGTGTGCCAGGCCCTGCTCTGAGCTCTTACATAGACTTCCTCTGTGAATCTCCACCATTATCCCCATTGTACAGAGGACCTTGAAGCACTGAAAGATAAAAGTCACTTAACCAGGCAGTTACTGGTAGAACTGGGATTTAAACCAAGCTCTCAGTTTCCTCAGCCCATGCTCTTAATCATGTGTTTGCCGACCCTCTAGAGGTAAACTCCCCTAGGAACATGATGGTGGGGTTTCTTGGTTATCGCTGTAAATCATTCTCTCTGGATTTCTCCCATTCTAAGTAAGGAATGAATGAGGATCTCACTTATGAAAAAGGTGACTTTGTGTTGATTCATTTGGTTCATGTGACATTAATACTATGTTCAGTAGGGCAACAGCTGAAAAATCACATGCTTTTGCTTTTGTCTTTCATATGAAATTCTTATTGTTGCCTTGGGAGCCAGCTCAGCAGACAAATTGGGAGCTTATATTTTCCATCTTGCAAAATTGCTTTTATTAGACTATAGCCTGCAGGCATTCATTCACTCAGTAAGCAGATATTTATTGAGCACCTACTATGTGAATAGAAACTAGAGCTTACATTCAACTAGCTCTTTGTCAAGTAAGGGAGACAAATGTAGGAGTCATTATGAAAGAACTGGTTTGTTCTTGATTCTGTCAGCTTTTATTGGTCAGATGGGGACATGAGTAACTATCAAGTGGCTAAGATATAAGGTCAGTTCAGTCGCTCAGTAGTGTCCGACTCTTTGCGACCCCATAGACTGCAGCACTCCAGGCCTCCCTGTCTGTCACCAACTCCTGGAGTTTACTCAAACTCATGTCCATTGTGTAAGATCAACACATCCTAAAAGCATTATCATCTGTGTTGTGCTGTAAACAAAATCCCTATAAATTCTAACCTTGGTGTAAATGTCTCTTGTGGATTGTAACTGTAAATCTTTTTCTTTTTTGACAGGTATGTTGTGGTTTTCCTCTCCCTTCCCCATTAATTATATCTTTGCTTGTCTCAGAAAAAGGATTATGACACTGATGGATTGGTACTATGATTCTTCCATTGAAAAGAAAACGTCACAACATATTTTTCTTTGATCCCCACTCCTCCATGATGGTGGAATTTCGACGTTATGACGGTTGTTAACATTTGATGGATGACGTTTCCCTTCTCAGCACTTTGCTGACCCTCCTGCTCTGTCCCCTTAGGTGATTTTGGACTTGAAAGGTTCTGATTACAGTTGGTCATACCAGACCCCACCCTCTTCTCCGAGCACCACCATGTCCCGCAAGTCAAGTGTCTGCAGGTAGGTGAAGCCAGGCTGGGCTGTTGCCTCGGGGATGTGGCATTTTGCTTTACACTAATTGTGAATGTTGGAGCCAGTCTTGGGCTCTGAAATAGTGCATTTTAAACAGGAAATGGCTATCGGGTGAAAGGATCCTATCATGATTCTGGTCTTACTCTTTAGTTTTGGAATTAATTTTGGGTTAGAAGGAAAAATCCCATCAGACCTTAAATTGGTAGACACAGCTTTCTCTCTCAGGGTACATGATACAAATCTCCCCATTTTATGAATTCTCACTGGATTTTCCTGTTTAGCAGAGTGGGAACCACATGGGCTCCCAAAGGGTGAACAGGGGTCGATTCTCGTGCAGACGCCACTCGCTGTGGCCAGAACAGATGAAGGCAGTGACAGTGGCTCCTGCTTTCATTTGCCACCCCCGCCCCCCAGTCTTTGTCTCAGGGCTTCACAAAGTGAATAGAATCCTTGATCTGTTAACCTGTCCCACCACCACCATCACTGTTATTGTTAACTTGGTGTCTCAGGGTCCAACAGAATAGTCCTGCCATCGGTCAGCAACACTGCTCCCTGGCAGCGTGCTGTTCAAGACCGTTCTTTACTTGCTGACGGCCAAGTTGGTTATTCTCTTCCCGTGAGGGTAGAAACACCCTCATGCATCACGTCCTTCTTGGTACACTCTCCCTGCTGATCTTTTTCTTTGACTTTGCCAAGCCGAATGGATTTCCTCTTCCTGTGACTTGGCGTTGAGAGTAAAGAACAGGATGGAGTGTGGGAATCTCTGTCTACACACGTGTGTCTGTGTGTCTTTGATTTCATGTTTGAGCTCGTGCAGTATACAGGCAGCAGGAAGTTCAGACTTGAGATGCTACAGCCTGACATTCTGCAGCCCGAGGATGGTGGGTGGTTTCTTGTCATCTTTTCTGTGCTGTGTGTGTGTGTGACACATCTCCTGAGGTTTTTTCCTGTTGAGGATTTTTTTTTTGTTTGGTAGCGAAGAAAACTGTATCTTGTTAGTATAAAACAAAGCTGCGTGAGTCTCTTTCTATAGTTTTAGTGTCAACAGAAAATCCTGTCACATGGACACCGCCAGCCCTGAGCTTGCTTTAGTGAAATTGCCATGAGCTTTGCTGTCAGTCTCCACATGCCCTGTTCTGGCTGACGGGCAGGGCAGGGAAGCAAAACTCATGATAATTATCCTTGATCTCCTCTGTTGGAACATTAGCACCAAGTCACTCCAGTATAGAACACCAGAACAAGGTAGTCAGCCCTTGACTATCTTATTAGCTGGCCGAGTTTGTGAAATTTGACAGGAATCTCTTGCAGAGTTAGGAGCAGAAACCACAAGTCTTCTAATCCCAGTCTGGGTTGTTTATTTCATGCCTTCTGACGCTGCTACAGCTGCCCTTTATCTGTCAGCTCTGCCTGTTTGGGCCAGGAGACTTTGTTCAGTTTTCTGGGTTTAAACAAAGCTGCGTGAGTCTCTTTCTATAGTTTTAGTGTCAACAGAAAATCCTGTCACATGGACACCGCCAGCCCTGAGCTTGCTGTAGTGAAATTGCCATGAGCTTTGCTGTCAGTCTCCACATGCCCTGTTCTGGCTGACGGGCAGGGCGGGGAAGCAAAACTCATGATAATTATCCTTGATCTCCTCTGTTGGAACATTAGCACCAAGTCATTCCAGTATAGAACACCAGAACAAGGTAGTCAGCCCTTGACTATCTTATTAGCTGGCCGAGTTTGTGAAATTTGACAGGAATCTCTTGCGGAGTTAGGAGCAGAAACCACAAGTCTTCTAATCCCAGTCTGGCTTGTTTATTTCATGCCTTCTGACGCTGCTACAGCTGCCCTTTATCTGTCAGCTCTGCCTGTTTGGGCCAGGAGACTTTGTTCAGTTTTCTGGGTTTCATAATTTGAGTGATTAGACAGAGTGTAGGACATACTGCTTACGACTGGAAATGGAACAGGCAGAAGTCCAGAGGGCAAGTGTCATTTTCCGACATCCTGTTTACTGTTCCATCCTGGAAGCAAACAGCTTCGATTGATGACCTTTAGTCCCTGAAGAGCTGCCTGCCTCTTGCCAGGTGTTCTGTTTGCTGGGCTCACAGATAGTTGAACAGAGAAGTACCTGTCTTCAGGGTCAAGCCATTCATTAAACCACCAACTTTGTTAATATTAATAAAATGTAAAATACATGAACACAGACAGAGTTGCCTCACATACGGGTATCTTGAATGAGGCACATTTAGGATGCAATCACCTTGAGAAATCTCTTGGTGCCAACTGATGGTTGGCCAGGTTGATCCAGATGGTTCACCTGAAGAAGACATTTGGGTGCTCCAACTAGGTCATGCTGAAGCCTTCATGTGGTTTTTGTGAGTAGAGGATATGAACCTTTTTCATGCCTCAGACATCGAGTCCCCTGGCTTTGCTGGTCGGTGACACAGCAGAGCTGGGCAGCACTTGGCTCTTTAAAATCACAGCCTTCCATCCTAAAGATGCCTCATTGCACCGTCNCACATAATAGCAAATAGACTTATATAGCAAATATATAAATAGCTGTATAGCATATAGCTACATATATATATATATAGCAAAGACCTAAATAGCAAATAGACTTAAACAGACTTAAATCCCTGACGTGTCTGTCCATTGCCAGGGGGTCTCAGGACAGTTACAGACGACATCACAGAGCCATTTCTCATACAAAATCATTCCACTGGCAAATCGGATCTAGAAAGCCTTCATCCAGTAAACTAGCTAAAGTTAATTTGAGTATATGTGTCTATAATTACTGCTGTGTTGTGTTTATATATTTATATAATTATATTTATACACTGCATTTTTAAATTTGTTTGGTTGATGTGCAATGTTGCATTAGTGTATACAGCTAAGTGATTCAGATATACATATATATTTATATACATATATGGGTGTGTGTATATATAAATGTGTACATGAACTTATATATATATACATACATATGTCTATATATACATACATACCCATACATATGTGTACATGAACTTAGGGCTTCTCCTGTGGCTCAGATGGTAAAGAATCCACCTGCAATGCGGGAGACCTAGGTTTGATCCCTGGGTCTAGGTTTGATTCCTGGATCTTCCAGGAAGATCCCCTGGAAAAGCAAATGGCAATCTACTCCAGTATTCTTGCCTGGAGAATCCCATGGACAGAGGAGCCTGGCGGGCTACAGTCCATGGGGTCTCACAGAGTCAGACACGACTGAGTGACTTTCACTCACTCAGAGCTTATGATCACCATGCGGGTGATGGTTGTCACGCCGTTGGAGAGTTTTCACACTTATGTAGACAGACTCAGCGTCTTGGCCACTCTCTGGCGTCCCTGTGCCTAGCTTGGCATGATGTAGTCATTATCCCATTTGCACAAGGGGACAGAGGTTCTGCTGTTGAACAACGCCTCGGAGCCCTTCCTTGGCACTTTCAGCTTCCTTGTGTCAATTTGTGATGAGGATGAGAATAAGAAAGTATCTTCAGTGGCCATGCAGGTAATTCTGTTGGCACCTTCCTCCTGGGAGAAGGGAAGGTGTTGAGTCTCTGAACACAGTTGGGTTAGATGGCACTAAATGCCCAGCCCAGTGGGTGCAGAAGAGCAGAAGGCAGGAGCTGGGCATCGAACACCCTTCACCTGCTTCGCTGGGTCCCTTTTTTGTGTCGGTGGGTTAGCCTCTAGACTGGTAAGCACAGCATACCAACCAGGAAACGTGAACATCCAGGATGTCCCCTCAGCGCCATCTGCTGGGGAGCGTGGTGACTGCGAGCCTATTGCATATTAGGTTTGCCAAAAAGATCGTTAGTGTTTTTCCAAAGTAAGACGTTACAGAAACTTTTTTGGTCAACCCTATATAATATATTTTGAGAGCAACCACAGCCTTTGGCCCGAGATCCTTTGGATTCAGAAGGTCACGTGCTTGTCTTGTTCATCCAGGTATCCAATTTGCCTGACAGTCAACAACTATCTCCTGTGTGCCAGGTACCATCCTAGGAGCGCCTGCCTGTTACCTGTGTAGTCCTGCCAGCAGCCACTCAGTGTCGTTATCCCTGTTTTGTTGGGGGAATGGGCTCAGAGATGTGAAGCAGCCTGCCTGAGTGGCACAGTTGTATGACCTCTAGTCAGGGATCTGAAACAAGGGTGTTAGCAACTGGTCCAGTGGCCTTTCTGCACCACCCTGGCCGTAAGGTGCCCCTAGCAGAGTGTTCTGGGGAGCACTCCACGTCAAGGAAGCATCTGTCATGTTCTGGGAGCCAGACAGCCACTCGCATGATTCGTCTGACATTGGCGAACCCAGGGCCACTCAGCCTGGAGCCCCGCCTTTGGCATTTCACAGCTGTCCCCAGGGGCACTGTTGCATCTCTCTGTCTTCCTAGGGTCGAGATTCAATTTTAAACAGAAATGCTCGGAGCTAGGAGCTGCAGCTTTAAGTCCTCTACTTGTCCGAGCTGGGGCGCTTTGGCTCACTGTCTAAGAGGTCCCGTCTCGTGTGGCACTAAACTGCACCTGCGTGTCTCGTGAGCCTCGAGTGAGCATGGTCAGAGAGGGAGCAGGAATTTGCAGCTCCTCAAAGGCTTTTCTAATGTGCAGTGTCATTCTGTGTGTGTTTTTAATCAGCTGATGCATTAACAAAATATCATGCACTGACACCCCTTTCTAAAAAAAGAGGCCATGCGCTCCAGCCTTGCTGTGTGTGTGTGGATCAGGCTGAATGAAGCGGGGTTTCTGCCTCCAGTCATGTTGAGGGAAACAGAAGGTGGGCTTGTTGGGATTTACTTAAATCTGAAAGCCAGTGCCTAAGATAAATGCTTGGCTAAGCAACTCTAGGGTAGTTTGAGTAAACTCAGGGATGCTGCAGAATTTAATTGAGAATTCTGTTTTTCTTGAAAAAGGCATTATGGCTGCTTCGAAGGCAGAGGGGAAATTTGAGGAGATTGTACACCTCACACAGGCCAGAGGGTGTAGTTTCCTAGGGGAAGTTTTATTACCTTTATTTGGGTGGGAGAAAGGGAGCACACATCCGTAAGCGGGGCGATCCCTCAGGTGCACGGGTGTAAATGAACGCCACGTGGCAGGATGTATTCAGGATTCTCCCATTGTCCTCCACTCTGCTCTTTACAAGTTGTGCCCGTGTGCCCAGGAGAGATGGGGCCACGTCTGCAGCGGGGCTCCTGCCTAGAACCGTCCACTCCATCCACTCAAGGGGCTCTTCAGAAAAAAATGAGCAGCAGTCAAAGGAAATAAGAACCTGTAGTCCTGGGGTGCTTTACTGTTTCTTTTTTTCAAATTGAACTTATTTTAATTAGAGGAGCCAAAATAAGTTGTTCTGGTAAATTATAATGGTAACTGGCTTTTGTTTACCGTTGGTTAAGCACTACATACATAGATACACACACATGTGATCTCATTTAATCTTCATCCAATAGATATTATTGATCTCTATTCTAAAGAGGGAGGAAAAATGAAGTTTTAGAGAGATTAAACCCATGGTTCCTAGCCTGGGAAGTGGTAGAAAAAGGACTTCAAACTTTCAGACTTCAGATCCTGGACTGCTAACCAAACACTGAGCTGGGGAAGCAGCCGGGACCTCCAGTGTGGGGTCTGCCCTTGCTTTGGCTCCGAGGAGCCGTGTGCACATGGAATGCCTTTTTGGTTCCTTGCTCTTGTTGAGCCTCGAGTGAGCATGGTCAGAGAGGGAGCAGGAATTTGCAGCTCCTCAAAGGCTTTTCTAATGTGCAGTGTCATTCTGTGTGTGTTTTTAATCAGCTGATGCATTAACAAAATATCATGCACTGACACCCCTTTCTAAAAAAAGAGGCCATGCGCTCCAGCCTTGCTGTGTGTGTGTGGATCAGGCTGAATGAAGCGGGGTTTCTGCCTCCAGTCATGTTGAGGGAAACAGAAGGTGGGCTTGTTGGGATTTACTTAAATCTGAAAGCCAGTGCCTAAGATAAATGCTTGGCTAAGCAACTCTAGGGTAGTTTGAGTAAACTCAGGGATGCTGCAGAATTTAATTGAGAATTCTGTTTTTCTTGAAAAAGGCATTATGGCTGCTTCGAAGGCAGAGGGGAAATTTGAGGAGATTGTACACCTCACACAGGCCAGAGGGTGTAGTTTCCTAGGGGAAGTTTTATTACCTTTATTTGGGTGGGAGAAAGGGAGCACACATCCGTAAGCGGGGCGATCCCTCAGGTGCACGGGTGTAAATGAACGCCACGTGGCAGGATGTATTCAGGATTCTCCCATTGTCCTCCACTCTGCTCTTTACAAGTTGTGCCCGTGTGCCCAGGAGAGATGGGGCCACGTCTGCAGCGGGGCTCCTGCCTAGAACCGTCCACTCCATCCACTCAAGGGGCTCTTCAGAAAAAAATGAGCAGCAGTCAAAGGAAATAAGAACCTGTAGTCCTGGGGTGCTTTACTGTTTCTTTTTTTCAAATTGAACTTATTTTAATTAGAGGAGCCAAAATAAGTTGTTCTGGTAAATTATAATGGTAACTGGCTTTTGTTTACCGTTGGTTAAGCACTACATACATAGATACACACACATGTGATCTCATTTAATCTTCATCCAATAGATATTATTGATCTCTATTCTAAAGAGGGAGGAAAAATGAAGTTTTAGAGAGATTAAACCCATGGTTCCTAGCCTGGGAAGTGGTAGAAAAAGGACTTCAAACTTTCAGACTTCAGATCCTGGACTGCTAACCAAACACTGAGCTGGGGAAGCAGCCGGGACCTCCAGTGTGGGGTCTGCCCTTGCTTTGGCTCCGAGGAGCCGTGTGCACATGGAATGCCTTTTTGGTTCCTTGCTCTTGCAGGATGGGAGCACCAGCTTTCAGATTTAAGTAAATCCCAACAAGCCCACCTTCTGTTCCCCTCTACATGACTGGAGGCTGAGACCTCGCTTCATTCAGCCTGATACACACACACACAGCAAGGCTGGAGAAACCTTCCTTTGGTGGGTGAAAGTTGGGGGACAGAAACGTGAGTCTGGCCTCCTTGCCAGTGAATACAGGGACACTTCCGGGGAGAGAGTAAAGAGGCTCAGACTTGCTTATATGGATGGGATGAGATTGCAGTTAACAGAAGAAAACTGAAAGCACGTGTCTGGGTGGGCCCAGAGCATGCCCCCCGGGGGGACACAGTTACATGGAAGAGATGGTCATTGTCACTCATCCATTCAGCACTGCTCGGCACCTGCCACATGCCAGGACAGGACCAGTATGTCAAGATGGAATGATGAATTAACAGGCAGTCTCTGCCTCGGCTGAAGCTTAGGACCTGGGAGCAGGTGCTTGGTTGACACTGGGAGACGGGTAGGGACTGGAGGTTTGTAATCAGATCAGCCTGAAGAGATGTTTTGTCAAGGCAGACCTCAGTTTTGTGATGTCTCAGATCTTACCGGATGGTTCATCCTCCCAATGATGGCCACTAGAAACATTGCCCTAACCACTGGACTTGACTGCCCACAGCCTCAAAATCACCCCCCAGGCAGAAAGACCTAAAATCATGTCCTGTGAGGATACAGCTTCACAGCTGGAAACCACCCCTTGGGGATCCAGAGGCTGCATGTGACAGAGAGAGAGAATCCGGAAATTAGAGCCATTCTGAGGAGACAAGGGGCTTCCCTGGTGGCTCAGTGGTAAAGAATCCACCTGCGATGCAGGAAACGCAGGTTCAGTATGTGGGTTGAGAAGATCCTTTGGAGAAGGAAATGGCAACCCACTGTGGTATTCTTGCCTGGGGAAATCCCATGGAGAGAGGAGCCTGGCGGACGACAGCCCACAGGGTCACAAAAGAGTCGGACGTGGCTTAGTGACTAAACAAGAGGCAGACGTGGAGCCAAAGCCCGTGCTGGGCGGTCAGTCCTCATGTAGTGACACCCGGGCACCCGAGAGATGTAGAAGGTGGCACAGGGAGAAGTGCCCTGGGGAACACAGGAGCCCCGCACCGTGACCCAGGCCAGGCACGCAGCCCATGCACTACACACACCCCGACGTCAGGGTCCCGGGCGCCCCACAGTCCGGTGGGTCTGGGTCTCACTGGGCGTCACGCTTCCTTTCCAGGGCTTGGAAGCCTCTGTGTGGGCGCAGCTTTGGGGGGAAATAACCCTAACTCTGCTTCTCTCATCCTTCTCTCTGTGCATGTCTGTCTCTCTCTCTCTGTTGCGTGACCTTCCTCCCCCCCCCGCCCTCCCCCATCTTTTTATTTTTTACGGGTGTCCTTTTGTGGCGGCACGCGGTCCCCGCGCGTGGTCCCTCCCGGCTGCAGAACTCGTCCAGCTCGGCCTCCTCCGAAGCCTCGGAAACCTGCCAGTCGGTGAGCGAGTGCAGCTCGCCCACCTCGGTCAGCTCAGGCTCCACCATGGGCGCCTGGGCGTCCACGGAGAAGGTGACCGGCTGGGGTCCCAGCCTCTCCCCCGACACCCCTTCTGCCAGCTGCTTCCCGCCCAGCCACAGGAACCCAGAAATGCAAAATCTCCACCAACAGTGGTCCCTCTTGGGACAGAGGGAGGGACGAGACTGAGGGGTTTTTCGGGAAGGGGTGCCTGGCTCCTGAAGCAGTGACCTTGCGGTCACCCAGAGGGAGAGGAAGGGGTATGGGGAACTCGGAGGTGTGAAGGCTTCTTCCCAGCACATGGATGGTCATCCATCTTTCCTCCTCCCCCTCCCCCGCACCCCGCCCGCCGTGGCCACCTCGTCACCCTGTCGTTGGATGTGACATTCCACTGCGTCAGAGGCTGTGTGCTTTCCCGCCTTTTCGTTTGCAGCCCCCGCTTCTTTGCCCCAATTTAGAATCTGCTCCTGAACACTCTGATGATTTGGAAACCTGGAACGAACAGCTTCAGCTGATGGTGTTGAGTTTTGAAAGCTGCATAATGAGATGAGCATATCACCATCACCGTGAAATTATTAGTGGAATAATCGAAGACCATTGAGCACTGCACATTAGGGACACCGATCATTTCCAAACTATTCTAAAAGTAGATACAGTATTTTCCCCCACTGAATGCTTGGTGTCAGATAAACATGCATTCTGTGCCCCCTGGAGCTCTTCTCTCGCATCATGGACTGTCCATGAGCAGCAGAGTCCCTGACATTTATTTGTAAATACTCAGGTCTCCCCTGTCCCTTGAATGTCAATGCCATCTTGTACCTCCACGTTCATCCTGTTGTATTAATTTTTTTTTTCCTTTTTTCCTCCCCCCTTTTTTGTTTCCAGTTGTCTAACGGGTTTTCTCACTATAGTTTATCAAGTGAGTCCCATGTGGGGCCCGTAGGGGCGAGCCTTTTCCCTCATTGCCTGCCCGCCTCCCGCCTGCTCCCTCGGGTCACCTCTGTCCATCTTCCAGACTACGCTCATTATTACACCATTGGGCCCGGCATGTTCCCGTCATCTCAGATCCCTAGCTGGAAGGTTTGTGTCTCTCCGCCCTCTCCCCTGTCCCTCATCGCTTCTGTGCTCACCCCTCTTCTGCCCCCATGATTCTCACCCCGATTCGCCCCTCAACCCCTTCCTCTCACACTCTGCCTTCTTCCCCATAACACCTCCTCCCTGAGTAAATTCTCCCAGGGGTACCAGCAGCCAGCAGGCAGCGCTGAGGCAGAGATGTCCACGCGGAGCTGGGGTTGGAGGGGCCGTAGGAGACACCAGTTAACCCCGGTTAGGCCCCAGTAGACCCAGATGGAGCACGGTGGGGATGTTTGGTTCTTGAGTGTACGTCCCGGTTCTGCCCTCCTGGGGGATTCCTGAGGGAGCCGCTGATACGGGGACTGTGTACCCCAGACTGTTCCCCCGAGTCCCTTATCGGGGCATGGTAATAGAACCATGACCCCAGATAGGTTTTGGCTTTTTTTTCTTTTTAAATCTTCAAGTACATGCAGACTTTATTTTCAGTCTTAATGGTTTATATTAAGACATATAAACCAATAGACATTGCTTCAAAGCAACAAACATTGCTTTAATATAAAAAGAAGTTTTTATATTATTTCCTAGCAAGTACAATTGACGCCCAGAGGATATTTCGAGAGATCCCTAACTGGAATAGTAGGCCTCTAGGCAGCCTGCATTTTGAGCAAGTGGTGCACACCTCTCAGACTCCTCAGAATCCTTCTTCCAACCCAGGGGCCTTCCCTTCCTCTGTGAGGACCTCAGAAGGCACGCCCCCAAGTGCCCTTTGGGGCTGCTTCCCTGAAGTGAGGTTCCGCCTCAGGGAAAGTGTCTGACGTTCTCTAGTGTCCCCTGGTGGCCAGGCTATGCAAGTGTGATCAATTGAGCCTGTAGGCCAGGGGCTCCCTCAGACATCGGGGCCTAGTCCCTGGGGACGTCTGTCCGCTGGTTGGTGCCTTTAGACACGGCAGGCAGTTGGTGAGCTGTTTGGTGGCTGTAAGAGTCTCCCCCAGGCTCCCTGCCCAGTTGTGGGTTTTCTGTCCTTGGGCAGATATGAGGAAAGGAGAGGTACCCAGGGGGTCCCCAAAGGACTGTCCATTCCCTCCTGCTAGCACTGGGTGAAGGGAAAAGGGGCTGCTGGCCTGTCCCAGCGTGAGCTCCCCCGCGGGGACCTGCCGCCTTCCGTGGGTGGGCAGCTGTCTGGGGGGTTCTCTGGCCTCCAAGTGGAGGCCGAGGCTCTGGCACCTGACCACGCTTGCTCCACTCAGGACTGGGCCAAGCCAGGACCTTACGATCAGCCTCTGGTGAACACCCTTCAGCGCCGCAAAGAGAAGCGAGAGCCAGACCCCAGCGGAGGAGGCCCCACTGCGGCAGGAGGTGCCCCCGCCACTACCGAGGAGGCCCAGAGGCCAAGGAGCATGACCGTGTCGGCCGCCACCAGGGTGACGCTCTTGTTTTCTTCGGCTGGCCGGGGCCCTCCACACCAGGCCAGGGGACATGTGCTGGCCGGCGGCTGGAGGGACCCAAGCCCTTTTCCCCGACTCCCTGGTCTATGGCATTTAGAAGGCCCCCAGGGAAGGTCTCAGATGGGAGTTAGACTCTAGAACTTTCTAGAGCCTGGGTAGGGCCCAAGCAAGCTGACAGCCTCCTGGGCCCACAGACCCAGTGGTGGTCATGGGAACAGAGGAGGATCCAGACAAGGCCCCACTGGAAGAGCAGAAAGGCTCTGGGGCTATCAGACAGGGACTCATGGCCCTGGGGGCTCGTCTCTTTCCTCCCACTGCAGCCTGGAGAGGAGGTGGAGGCTTGTGAGGAGCTGGCACTGGCCCTGTCTCGGGGCCTCCAGCTGGACACCCAGAGGAGCAGCCGGGATTCGCTTCAGTGCTCCAGTGGTTACAGCACCCAGACCACCACCCCCTGCTGCTCCGAGGACACCATCCCCTCCCAAGGTAGGCAGCCTAGGCTTTCCAGCCAGGCTTCCTGAGCAGTGTCAGGTGAGGATGGGGGGCCCTCCCTCCTGGGAGGAGGCAGGCTTCCGTCCAGACACCATTGAGCATCTTAGAATGCTCGGGGGGGCTCTGCCTGTGATTGTTAGGTAGCTGCCATCCAAGGAAGTGGCCAGACTTTCACAGCTTCGCTTGTTCTTCACCTTCAGGGTTCAGGGCAGTTCCCAATGTGAACACAAGATGCTGTTAATGGTACTTTATAATTTGTGTTTGGCACTTTATAATAAGCACTTTGGGTTTCCCTGGTGGCTCAGAGGGTAAAGAATCCACCTGCCAATGCAGGTTTGATCCTTGGGTCAGGAAGATCCCTTGGAGGAGGATGGCAACCTACTCCAGTATCCCTGCCTGAAAAATCCCGTGGACAAGGTTGCAAAGAGTCAGACATGACTGAGCCACTAAACAGACAAAAACAGACTAAGCACTTTATTGTCCCATTTATTTTGTCACAGCCACGTCTATAACATGTATGCGTGCTCAGTCGTGTCCAACTCTTTGCAGCCCCATGGACTGAAGCCCACCAGGCTTCTCTGTCCATGGAATCTCCAGGCAAGAATGCTGGAGTGGGTTGCCATATTCTCCTCCAAGGGATCTTCCCGACCCAGGGATCAAACACCGCCTCCTACATTGGCAGGCAGGTTCTTCACCACTGCACCACCTGGGAAGCCCATGTGTATATTTATCCTCATTTTACATACATGGAGACTAAGGCCCAGGGTTCACACAAGTAATAAGAAGCAGAGCTAGAGTTTGAAGCTAAGATCTGTCAAGAGTCTGAAGCCCAAACTCCTAACCTGTTCCAGCCAAGTTCTCTATGAACCGCCTGTCTGACCCGTCTCCCCAGACAGCCGCAAGGCCAGCATGATGGCATCGCAGCTGCTAGGAGATCTCTGCATTGGCCAAGCCTGCTGGCAGTCCTCCATCGAGGTCTCTGACAGTGGGTCTCAGTGGAGGGCCGTCTTGCTCCCCAGAGGACACTTGGCAACATGTGGAGACATTTCTAGTTGTCACAGTTGGAGGGGGTGCTACTGGCGCCTAGCAGACAAGGCAGGGATGCTGCTAAACATCCCGTAATACAGCCCAAAGACCCCCACACCCCCACCCGTGGACTGACCTGGCCCAGATGCCAGAGTGCCGCTGTTCAGAAACGCACTCTGAGGTGTTCGGCCGGGACGCCTCCCATTCCCACGTGACCCTGTGTTGGGAGGAGGTGAGCACACTGCACTGATGGAACCTGTCTTTGTGCATAGGTCTCAGAGACTCGTTGCCAGTTCCATTGTTTCTCTAGTCTTTGCACTAGTGAGCTGATCATGAGGGAGGTCTGTATGGTCCATGTGGGGTTTGTTTCTCACATTATATTCCAGGCTGGAGAGGTTATTTCCTCCTTCCACCCTCTCTATTCCTCCCAGAGGTAGCCAGTTTTGCGTCCTTCCCAGCTCAGCGGCATTTGAGTGCAGGCCTGTTGTATCCAGCTCTGCTCTGGGTGCTCAGGGCTCCCTTGGTGAACAAAATGACAATCCCCGTTAGGGAGTTCTTAGATGGTAGGGGCCTGGAAACCCAGGGAGGCTTGGGATAAAGTTGCGGGTGAAGTCCCTGGCCTCTGGGGCCTTCTGTCCTCCCAACACAGAGAATGAAAAAGCACAGCCATCACCTTGGAGATTTCTAATCGCATCCTATAATCAGTTTCAGATTACGATTATTTCTCTGTAAGTGGTGACCAGGAGGCTGATCAGCAGGAGTTTGACAAATCCTCCACCATCCCAAGAAACAGCGACATCAGCCAGTCCTATCGAAGGATGTTCCAAGCCAAGCGCCCGGCCTCGACCGCGGGCCTTCCCACCACCCTCGGACCTGCTATGGTCACCCCAGGGGTTGCCACCATCCGACGGACCCCTTCCACCAAGCCTTCTGTCCGCCGGGGGACCATAGGAGCTGGTCCCATCCCCATCAAGACACCCGTGATCCCTGTCAAGACCCCCACCGTCCCAGACCTCCCCGGGGTGCTGCCAGCCCCTCCAGATGGGCCCGAGGAGCGGGGTGAGCACAGCCCAGAGTCACCGTCTGTGGGTGAGGGCCCCCAGGGTGGCACCAGCGTGCCCGCCTCAATGTGGAGCGGCCAAGCCTCCGTCAATCCCCCTCTTCCAGGCCCGAAGCCGAGCATCCCCGAGGAGCACAGACAGGCGATTCCAGAAAGCGAGGCCGAAGACCAGGATCCCCCAAGTGCCACTGCCTCCCCTGGCCAGGTTCCAGAGAGCGACCCTGCAGATCTGAGCCCAAGGGACGTCCCGCAAGGAGAAGACATGCTGAATGCCATCCGAAGGGGCGTGAAACTGAAGAAGACCACGACAAATGACCGCTCAGCCCCGCGCTTCTCTTAGGCTCTCAAGAAATGCTGCCAGTGGGGAATGAACTGTCTAATTAATAAGACCTAATTTGTCTTGATCCATTCCAATCTATAATCAAAAGATTTTGTAGGCAACTCAGAACACAGCTCTTTTGAAAGTACACCTTTAGATAAGAATTAAAAGTAACATATGTAACTGACATAACCTTGATCTTTTAATTTGTAAATATCAACAGTTTTCTTTCTGCACATTTTAATCTTAAGTTTCTCTTTTGATTTTTCTGAAGGTGCCAAATTCCATTTAACTTTTTTACAAGTCTTTGTAAAATTTTAAATGCATAAGGGCGGGGGGAGGTCGGGCAGGGGAACCACAAGGTTAGTGAGTTCAGAAGAAAGGATAACTATACTTAGCAATTTTTCTTTTCTCTGTTTTCCTGCAAGCTTTTGTAGATGCATTGTAGTAGTCTGGCTTAGGAGCAAATTCAAGTTATTTTAATGTACAAACAAAATGGATAAGGAGTAAAAATCCTTATCCAAGCAAACTACTTTCGGGATGAGAAATGCGGGAGTCAGCTGATGAGCAATATTTGGAGTGAAGTAACTCTGGAAATGGTAGACTGTGTTGGGATTGGGGGGAGGGTCCGGGGAGGGGCACACTGTCAACATAGCCGATCCTGTTACATTTAAGGGTAGCCTCGTAGGTTGAAATTTCTAGTAGCTTCATGGTAAATGCATCCGAATAAGCCATACTGGATTGCAGTGTTTGTTTCTGTAGGGTGTTTAAGGACTTCCTTTCTCCCACGATTCCTCCTGACTGCACACAGCACCCACCTCCAGTCCTGTGCATGCGGCCACCGGGTAGACACAGAACCCCCACTTCAGTTACTCGTCTGTTATACCCACTCTCATTGAGTCCAAATGCATCCAAAATGGTAAGGCAGTTTTAAAAATGTGAAAACATTTAAAAATGATAGCAGGGAATTCTTAGATATAGCAAATGCCTTTTACTTAACTGTGCCCAGCAGGCTGGGTGCGTTGAAAAGCCCAAATATTTTGAAAAAACTTGAGCGGATTTAACAAGGGTAACCAGCTTGGAGTCTAGCAACTTGCCAATGTGTTTACCAATCTGGGGGCTTGTTTTTCTTATCTTCTTTTAAATAAGTGGCAGTTAACTGGCTTCATACTAAACATCAGAGAGGAGGATTTCTTTCTTGTCACCTGGAATCTGACCACTATACTGTCCTCTTTTGTATCCTAGGTAATGTTTTTTGGAATGGATTTCTGTCTTTTATTTTTTAAGTGAAAGTTAAATTTGTTATAATGCCCATCCCCTAAAGCCAACAGAGATTTGTAGATTTAAAGGATCACATCTGGGGACTGTGATGGTGTTTTAAGAAAAAGAAGGCCGGCCTCTTAGTGGGGTCAGTTCAAAGTGCTCATTTGGGATCGAACCTCTCAAGGAGAAGAGCCCGGTGGGTCTCCCAGGGCCTGTGGATCTCTGTTGGTGGCAAGCTTCGGCTACATACTCTTATGCTTTAATACATAACTGCATTGGATGCGAAAGAAATGTACCTGTATAGTCACTGTTCTATATATTAACATTTAACACTGCTGTGATCGCTCAAGGACATTTTATGTTATGGCTTTAAAGCAAAGGCATGATTATTAGAAACTATTTAAGCTTTTTTTCTTTGAAAAACAAGCTCCTTTTACAGAATATAAGCAACAGTAGTGCCTGTGGTTTAGCCCACCAATCTTGATGACTAAAAGTAGCTGATGCATTGTGCATATGATGCTTGAGATGGTTTTTGCAAAAGCAGAAATCACTGCAAGGTAATTACGTTAGATAAAAGTGGTATTTTAAACCTTTGAAATAAATGGATGTAACTGTACCTTGGTACAGCTTTTCACTTGTTTAGTTTTTAAACGTTAGTATAATCTGAATAAATTTAATATAAAATGTTGCCAAATTCAATGTAGAAAGAATGTGACAAAACACCTTGGGTAGTTCTGTTTGTGTTTTTGCATATTGTAAAAGCAGTGTCACAGCTAAAAATAAAGAAATCGTTTCTAAAGGTAAATTATTGTGGTTTAGTTGCTAGTTTGTACTGAGAGTTGACCTCTCCCTGTGCAGTTTTTTGTTCTAAACTTGTATAAATAACAATTGTGTAACGTGTCTCCCTTCTACCTTGTAACAGTTGCTTCAGCCTACATTATAAATAAAGAACCACTAGAAAAAAAAGCCCTGCATTTCAAGTCTTATTAAAATTCAGGCTGAGGTCTTGGTCAAATGTTAGAAGATGGGCTGAAACTCACATCAAGCTTAGTTAGAAAACTGACATCATTTCTGTGCACCCTAAGAACACTTAGTTGCCTGACCTAAGTGTTAGGTTCCAGTGAGTTTAATATTAACAGTTCCAGTGAGTTACCAAGAACTGAAACTAGCTGGGTTTGGTTGAATTTTTTAAATGGCTTTACCTTTAGAAAAAAAACAAAAACTTCATTTAGTTTTTGCCACCCTTACCTTTGTGTCTGCAGACAATCCAAGCTACAGTAGAGGAAGCAAAGCTGGGAAACTGCCTTTGAAACGACTGTCACAAAAGTGCCATTCAGATGGAATGCTTTAACCCCAGCCACCAAACTCCAATCCTGAGAACCCCATAAACTGCATGCTTCTTTGCTGAACGTGTGCTTAAGAGTGGTCCTTTAATCAAAGCTAAAATTCCATGAGTGGCATCTAGGAAACAGGAAAGTTATCGTACACACTCACTACTGGCCTGCTTTCTCTTAGCCTCTCATGCCTTCCACTCGTTACAGCCGAGTTAAGCCTTCAGCTCAAGTTTATGCAACTAACTCTTGTATCTGGTTCTGCTGTGTAGTTTTCCCTTGATAGCATATTTACCAATATGACTTAATGGGGATGAACAGAACACATCTGACCGACTACATTTCACATACTTTTCTTTATATGCATAACTGCTCAGAAAATGACAGCGGCCCAATCATCCAGCATGTCACTCCTCAGAACACGTCAGTCATACCAGGTGGAGTTATTTTATTAGGGCAAGTGTGTGTCCTATTAACTCATCTGACTTGCGAGCGTGACTGTGAGGCATCTTCCTCTACATGGGCCGCTCCCGGGGTCTGGTCACGATATGCCACCAGAGAGGGGGCAAGTCACCTTGCTTTCGGGCTGGGGGCAAAGCTTCAGTTCGGGGACCACCAACCGGGGTTTCCTCCTGCAGCTGCTTCACCTAAAAGAGCGGTAAAGAGGGAACAATTAGAACAGGGGTCAAACTGATGGTCCGATCTCTGCTGTGGAGCAGTGTCAGCGTCGTTTCTACTCTGTCACATGACACTGATCCTCACTACAGAAAAGGGCTGTTTATACAGAACTGCATTATTTCTATGCCCGTATTTTAACTCAGACGCAAAAGCTGTTCTCCTCAAAGGTTTTCCCATTCTAAAACAGCAAAGCTGAGAACAAACCCTTCTACCCCACCTCCTACTCATTAAGCAAAACCCTGACAATTACTACTTCAAGTTCCCCTTATGGCCCCTTCAACTGACCACTCCCCTCGGCATGTTCTTGTGTCTCTGCAAAGTGGTCTCCGAAAGCACTGTTAAGAAACCTCAATTTGAATACATTAGGGATGTTCATTTAAAAGCCCTCCAAATAGCAATCAGGTACAAATGTGCTCAGTCCTGCCCCCTGCTGCCTAGCTACCCCTGTTCCAGCAAATCTCAGAGATCACCACTGTCCTAATAGATGAGGAGAGCCAAGGCACCCACTTTCCAGAGCCATGGTTTTTTGAACCTCCCTACAGAAAACCAATTCTGGGTTGTGGCAAACCTGGGCTACAGTAAATGTGCTGTTTAATAATGTCGATGGAATAAGTAAAGGAGGAAGGTTTTGGGGAGAGGTTATCAAAGCGATCAACTGCAAAATGAATCTGCTGCTCTCCATGAACAAACACACCTCAAGTTCTCAAATGCTCACATACTTCTTAGAAAACACTGCCCTCCTTGATCACAAAATCATGACTTCAAGTAACCCAATATCCCAGTAACCAGTGTCCTCTTCCAGCTCATTTACTTAAAGGCCCCTTGAACATAACTTCTTGAACTCACAGAGGCTCCCAATTCCCACATTCTCCCACCTAACTGGCCCTTCTCTGCATCAGTCTCCTGTGTACGTCCCTACTTGACCCAGCTAGACTCCATCACGAAAATCACTCCCTATGGAGGAACTTCAATTCCTTGTCGCTCCTGACAGAGAACAGCCACACAATCTACCTTCAGGCCTGCACCAGTACAGCTTAGTATTGCTAAAGAGAAAAAAAAAAATTCCTGAAACAAACTGGAGTTACTACACATTTATTCCCAGCCTCACAGGGGCCTTCACCACCCTACAGCAATCTTGCTGCTCCTCTCCAGCAAACTCATCCTCTGCCCACGCTTATCACACCTTTTCATGTTCTACAAACATGCTTTGCCCACTCCCTGGCTTTTCCTTATTTCACTTAAAAAAGAGAAGCCTGCACATGAAAGTCTGTCATTTCCCCACCATCTAAACTTCTAACCCAAAAGTATTTACCTACAGCTTCTGTCCAATAAGAATGGAGGAAGAATCCCTTCTCCTTTCAAAGGCCCCCACACAGGCTCGGGATCCTCAAAAATTTTCCTTCTGTACCTGTTCCGTCTTGATTCGGCATTACCAGACTCTCCCTCACCCCAAATCTCACCAGTATGTATGCATCATTATTTATTTTAAAAGAAAGTAATCTCTCGGTCTCCAGTTACTGCCCCATTTCTTCGTTCTCCTCAGCAAATGTTCAAGTCATCTCTCCCTCATATTTTCTCCTCCTCACCTTCCGATCAATCTTTGTGTGAAAGATAAGCTCAAGTCAGGGCCACTAATGCCCTCTCTGTAATTAACACCTTTCGATGTTATTTCCAGGACTCTAGACCACATCAAAGATGACTGACCCTGGCCACTGTTCCTGAAACACTTTCTCTTGGATCTAAGGATCTCAAACCTTTCTGTGGCTCTCTGCCGGCCTCCACTTAATTCAGTTCCTCTGCTGTGGAGAGGGAACCGGGAAGAGGCCCCCATTCCCTCTTCTGTGGCTTTTAAAACAACTGATAACACCCACATTTCTATTCTGAGCCCAAATCTCTCCTCTGAGTTCCAAATTTGCACATCCAATCACTGTCTGACACCTGCATCAGATGTCTCATAGGATTCTCATCTTTAAGATTTTTAAACATTTACAACCGAACACCTGATTGTCCTGACATCTGTTTTCTCTTTTCTTCCCTATCTCAATAAACACCACCACCAAACTCCACATGTTGAAGCTTAAAACCTGGAAATCATTCTTGATTCTTCCCTGTCCTTCACTCCACACGATACCCCCCCCACCCCAATCCAATCCCTCTTCACATCCCTGCAAACAACATCCTGAAGCTGCTTCCTTCCACATCCACCGTATCGATCCTAGCGCTGGTTGTGTAGTCTTTGGACTAAACTACTGCAATAACCCAAACTGGTCTCTTCCCTTCTCCACTTGCCCTCTCCAATTTATTTTTCACACTACCACAGACTGAATTTTTTAAAACATAAATCAGGGCTTCCCTAGTGGCTCAGTGGTGAAGAATTCACCTGCCAATGCAGCAGATACAGGTTCAATCCCTGATCCAGGGAGATTCCACATGTTACAGAGCAACTAAGCCCGTGTGTCACAGCTATTGAGGCTGTGCTCTAGAGCCCGGGAGCTGCAGCTACTCAAGCCGACACACCCTCAAGTCTATGCTCAACAACAAGAAAAGCCACCTGCAATGAGAAGTCTGCAAACAGCAACTAGAGAGTAGCCCTTGCTTGCTGCAACTAGGGAAAAGCCCTCACAGCAATCAAGACCCAGCACAGCCAAAAAATGAATTAAGTTTTAAATACATACATAAATCAGTCATCATGAGTGGAAAAATACCCAAGGCGCTGGTGGAGAAGGTTAATAGATTATAAAGTCAAGCAAAGGATTATGGAGGGGAAGGAGAAGAGAAGCAAAATTAAAGAACAGAAGAGCCCAAAGACCAGGAAGCACATTTAACCGATTTCTAAGATGGCTGTAAACGCTGAATTGAACACACCTCAAAGAGAAAGCACAGGCAGGACTCACCTCCCGTTCCCAGCTCTCCCTCCGCAGTTTCCTCCACTGCTCTCTCTTAGCAAAGTAGTCAGGATACATCGCCTTCTCCGAAGGATGCCAGTCGTCTAAGCACCACTCGGGAACCTGTCAGGAGGCGAAATCACAGCGTCATTCCGCAAGACACATTTACATGTCACTGGGAGGGCCTTCTCAGGAGACAAAAATCAATGTATTTTTATAACAATTCTAAGTTCCAGACTTGCTTCTGACATTAAGCCATACATAGCAGAAGACCAAAATAAAGGAGAACACCTTAGACTGAAACAATCTAGGACCGAAAAACAGCAAGGTCAGTCCAAAGAGAACTGGCATCGTCCCCCCCCCGCCCCCACCCAAGCTCTCTAAACATCCAATGTGGCTTTATGTTATTTGGAAATACCACTTAGAATACTAAGCACCAATTAAAACTGCTTAACTTCAAGATCCAAAAATGAGTTATTGACCCATTCCTTAAGCACTTTCCTTTGTCAAAATGTTTACTGCAAGACCCTGGCTCTGAGTTTGGAAAGAAAAGTCTTGATAGCATCTGGGAGAGAGGAAACTGACACTGAAAAAACATGTAACTGTCAGAAAGAAATCTAGCTGCCCTTAAAAGGTGAGTGGTTTCCGGGGCTGAGGTCTGAAATTTGACACACCTGTGGTCCTCACCTACCTTGTAACACTCGTATCTCTCATAGCAGGTGCCCCCCGGAGACTCAGGGAAGATGTACGGCTGAGGATGCTGACCATACCAGAATTCTTCCTCTGCCTTCCTCAGCAGCTGGGTGGCCTTCACCATGTCCTTTTCATTCTTATGTTCATCAAACCGGGCTCTCAACAAGCAAGCAAAGTACCGGTATTTATCCCTTAAACCAAAATGGGTTTTGGAGATTAGAAATGTAATCTACTCGATCAGCAAGTATAACTATCTGACAGTTATCTGACAAGAGGGGTACTTCCACTAATGCCTCCCAGGTGAGTAATGCATCTTCCCAGCTCCTCCCCGGACCCTGTCAATGGAGCAGCCACATCATTATGACAGCTTTCTTGGCAG